GCACATGGGAATATACAGATGCAAAGGGAGTTAGTACCAAGCCTTCCGTTTTGTAAGTGAGAGGCACCAAATTTTTGAAAGCCCGTGAATTTTGAGTTTATCCTGTTTAAACTTTTTGGCCTGTTCAGATAAACTGATATACAGTAAGTTGGCTCAAGAAAAGCTGGGAACTTACCTCAGGTGAATGAGCTGAAGAAGCCTGTGCAAAGCATACTTGATGTTGGCAAGTGAACTATGGGGTCTGTGTTTTATTGAATTTTGTTCAGTTCAATAATGTATGAAAACGACAGGAGGAAATGTATTAAACTTATACATATGGATGTGACAGTCATGCATGAACATTCTGGACATAAAAAACTACTTAATCATCTTACACAATAGTGTTTTATATTGTTCTCAAAAGTACTTTCTATATAAGCAGACTGTCTGAATACAGTAATAGAATCTAATTTTAATGGCTTTAAATTTAAGCTCATGAGTATGCACCCAGGTGTCTTCTGCTTCTGGACTGAATATCGGAGGTTTTTAGTGTCTGAATAGCATGACTTTATTCCTAGGTAATCGATTCAAAAATGATTATTCATAATATATGAATAGCCAAGAAGTCCTACATGGTTGTTTTGTTATATGTAACATCTAATTTGAGGTAGAAAAATAATGTAGGTTTCTGAGCAGTAATTATGCAATACATTATAATTGGATGAATGCCATTGAAACTGTTCTTTTTCATCCTGAGACTCATATTAAAAACAGGTTAAATTTTTCTTGCTTGTAAGTGATGCTAACATTGTGTGACAAAAAGTTTGAGTTTTTTTAAGCGATGTTTTCCCTTCAGTAAGGTTTAACACTGAGTTAATGTGATTGTAAAGAGKAAAATAAGTTTACAGACAGTAATGAAAGGAAAATGAGAAAAGATATGTCTTGACTTTAGTGAGCAGGAAAAACTTGAAGAAATATTTATGCTTCTACTSTATATCTTTGCTGTGCATGAGATGTGAGGTTTTCAGAAAGTGGGGGAAAAAGGTTCAGTCTTTATCACYGTGCAAAGGTGATAAAGAACTCAAAAGTTATTTCATCCATGCTTAAAGGTTTTGTGAAGCCAGTCTTTATTTTATCTCAATGGCGAGGCATTTATTCCATTAACATAAAAAGTGATTTGCCATTGGCTTCAACAGAAACCAAAATTTCACCCTTATATAGAGGGKTTTTTTTATATTCTTAATAGCTCTAATTAATGTATTGAGAGATTTTTCTATATACAGACTCAAATAAATTTCCCCCAGTCAGTATTAAATATCATGATGTCATTTTTGGTTCTAGGAACTAAATTAAGCTTTTACAAGGTTTCAGTGAGAATATTAGATTAATGGGAATTTAAAATTGCTGTGACAGTGTGTTGGAGTCAATTTTAAGTAAGAATGGACCCTCTACTCTTTCCAGATCCAGTCCAGGTTGCCAGCCTGCCCAGGCAGGGGTGGTGTTCCTTGTTGAAATCCTTGTTGAAATCTTCCAAACTGTTGTTGGAAGATCTTTCTGTGAAAGTCTAGATCCCATGCAAACAAGCTACTAGCTGAGGTGCTTTGTGCAAAATATATTCACAACCTTCTTGCTTTTCTCTAGAAGATTTCCACCTTCTTGTGGATACCTATTTTTTCTCTTATCACGTGTTTTTTGCATCAGAGGTGCTGGTTGGCACGAGCTTTAGCAGTATCCCCGTGCCTGGCACTTCAATAGAATTGCAACCCCCAAAACATATACGTAAAATAAACTTTGATATTAGGCTCATAGGAGATACAAACACTTTTTAATTGAAAACTATATAGTCCCAGAGCTTTTTTTTTTTTTAATTAAGAAAAACAAAGTTGTAGTTTTTATATAAATGCTGCAACCATCTCTTCTATAAGGCTAATTTGATTAACCTGGAGCCAAATAGGATTAGATTGTAGGCTTCTTATTAGCGACTAATACTTTGCTTTGAGTTCCTTTGCTAGCCAGATTAAGATATTTGTGAATATAAGTACATGCGTTATAACAGGGCCTGTAGTTAAGGTTTGGTTCATCTCACTTTGCTTGCAGTGAGGTTTGGAACTGTACTATTTATATGGATTTGGTGCAAATGCTGAAGAACAAACAAATTATTAGAAAGAATGCTTGCATATTACAAATTGGTTGGCTGGCACCCAGTAGCACCCGCCTAATTTGTTGATTTAGCTTCAAAATTGCAGGTCTCTCAGATCGTTTAAAAATTCARCCAACAAACTAAAGGAAAAGTTAGGATCTTTATTCTACTTTTTTACCTTCAGAAGGAAAGGTTTTTCAATTTGAAGAATGTATAGGGAAAGACAGGGGAAGGAAACCCTAGCGGAATATCTCAGATGTTTTTATCATGTTTTTATACCTCCATTTGCATTGCATGTCACAGAGTGTAAAATGGATGCTTCACTTCAAGTATGTGTTTTTCTCCTACAAGTGTCTGTATTTCTCCTGCAATGGCAACTGGAGAGCTCATTCCCATGGACCTCCCTCGTGGGCAATTCACCCTGTAGCCCAAGACAATTCTCCCTCCAGGAACTTAGGATCTTAAGTCCCACTCTTGTAACGGATTCTAGTGACCAAGCAGAGCTGAGAATAACGTGAGGAAAAAGCTCTAATATCCAGACTTAGGAAGCTTGATTGTAGGATCATGGCCTGATTTAAAAGTAGGTGCAACAAGCAGCCCTAGCAACAATAGTGAATAAAAATTTCAAGCTCCTTTTGTTGGTTTATAACAAGTTCAGCAGAATCCAGTGTGCCAGCTATCACAATAGAGTTGGAGTACTTTAAGCAATTCCATTATAAAGCCTGCTATTGAGAAATTTATAAGTCTGCTATAAAACTTCACTGAAGGCTGATCAGTGCCAAAGAACATTTCTTTTCCACTTAAAAATAACATGTCGCTACTGTTTATAAATGATGGGGTTGTGAAAGTGGAGAGAGTGAGAATTTCAGTGGCATAAATTGGAACTGGACAGCGATTCTCTGTGTCTTGGAATATCTGTCATTAACATCTAAACAGGAAAGGTGAAGAAAAGACTTTTACACAATTTATGTATAGCAAAGCACAGATTTTGATTGGTAGGAGATTAAAAAAAATAAAAAAGAATAAAAGTTTGCCTGTTATAGATTGTTTTCCCTCAACAGGCTATTTTTTCAGCTCAGTCTATTAAAATTGTAATTAGCTTTTGGCTAACGTTCTTTTGGTTAAAGAAACTTTAAAAGGACAAGTTGGTAGTGTTTGAAAATTATCTTCTCTAACTTCTCCTTCATATAATTTTATACYTGCCCATATTGTCATTTTAACAGCTTCCTCCTATGATAAATTGTAATGACCGTCTGCCCATGATCACCTGTCAACTATAAAATATTGCAATATACATTTTGAAATTGGACAAATTAATCTTTGTGTTATAGACTTTTCCAATGTCTTATTTCTTACATACCTCTGTAATATTTCTTCTTCTAAAATCAGCTTCCTTCTAATTAATGAAATTGAATGAAAAAAGTAAGACAAAGGAAATTAAATTCCAAGTTGCCAAAGGACAAAGTGTTTGAATAGTATATATGAAAAGTATGACAAATCAGGGCTCTGGCTGCAGTACTGTATGTCAAGGTTTTACAAACGTTGCAGGGTATAACATCCCTTATTTCTTATTTTCCCTAAGGAGCACCTTTTTGTGTCAGGTTTTCTTCCTTAGAGGTGTATTGTTTGTTTTCCAACATGGATAAATGGAGTACTGCATGTGCATTGATAATACCTGTTCTCTGGGAACAGGGGAGAGACCCTCACAGTGATCAAGCTCCATGTGAAGCATCACCAATGTACACAGGAGAAAAGGATGATTTATGTAATGTACTGCAAAAACKTATTTGGTCCTGGCCACCTTGTCCCACAGAACAAAAGCTTTCCTCCTCCAGGACGGGGTACCAGAGCAGTGCTGCAAAAAGCTGTTTTACTTACCTCAGTGGTGAGCGAGACGCTGAGTTTCTGAAGAGGAGTGTCACTCCTAGAGTTCTCTCTGAGAAATGTAGAGTAGATCGAACTTTATAAAGCCTGTTTCAAAGTGAGATCRTTTCTCTTGTAAGGGAGTAAAATGCATGCATCCTTTTATTTTATATTTGGTGCTTATTCTGAGTTAGAAGAGTCCCATTTATGTCAAAGTTCACTTACATTGCACTAGGTAAGTGAAATAGGAGAAAAGAACAAATACGATAACATCTCTGCTTTCTCTAGTCGTCCTAGAGTCTACCTGAAAGGGAAAACCGAGTAGCAGTTCAAGTAAAGGAGCATCTATAGATATAACCCTCTTTTTTCCCCATTTTGTGTCTGTTTTGCTAGCAGTCAAACAAGCAAGCAAGACTAACATAGCTCTTGGGATCTTTATGCTGATGTAGCCTTCAGTTTAATGGAAGATATAAATATTGCATTGGGAGCCAGTAGGTTAACAGTGTTACTTTGGACTTAGCCCAAAGTACCTGAGATCAGAATCTGACCTACTACTGTTCTTGTCCAYGGGAACTGTAGCCATTTTACTGCCAGAAATGAAACCAAGGATTTGCGGGATATTGTCAGTCTTAGATGTGAAAGAATGACAAGAGTGGAGTAGCTCCCGTGCCATGAAAAGCTGTATGCTTTTTAAGAACATCCATCTTCACCTCTTAGATGTTATGCATTACTCTTCCTTCTGTGTCACAATATACTGAAGAGATAAAATATCTTATTAAGATCAGAAATAATGAGTGGAAGTACTCTGAAGCTTTAGCTGGCTTTAAAAAAAAAAAAATCAGTTGTTGTATGCAGACCTTCATTTTCATTTGGTTTCATATTGCTGTCTTTCTTCCTCACCCCTAATTAYTTCATAAACATGCTTAAGAAAACCATCAGAGGTGTTTTTAGTTAAAAAATTAAAAAGTTAAATTTAGTTTATCAGTGATTAGTGACTGTGCCTTCTGTCTTCCTTTAGCATCTGTGGCTCTTCATCCCATACTTTGACCTGAATTTCTCATTGGATACTGAAAAGGACTTTGCAGCCTACAGCATGTTACAGTATATAGAATTGCTATTCTGGGGGTTCTTCTCAATGAGACACTCAGGATCTTTGCTGGTGACTTCAAGGAACTAAATGCAGTAAGCTGTATGCCACATTTCAGCATTCATTTCTATGAGTGCATATATGTTTTTTTCTTCTAGTGTGTAAAGCAAACCATTATTAATGTTACATATTTTCTGGGTGTGGTTTCTTCTTTCACTCAACAAGGTTCTTTAATTTTTGGTAAAATATAGTTGATACTCATTGAGCTACATAAAAGAATCTCCCTTCTGCTCTCAAAACAAATTTGCCAGGTRTTTTTTTAGCACATTCTAAACATAAACACCAAAATGGAATGTTAGCTCTATAGATGAGCTAAAGGAAAAGTTACTTTTCACAAAAGAGGATTCTGACCATTACTCTAAAGCAAATGAAAACTTGAAAACAATTATTCTAAAAACCATAGTTTCGAAAACAATGATTCTAAAAAGCATAGAGTTTCTAAGTCCGTGGTCTTTTCTGTGGTGTTTCTGTCCATGCATGGCAGAGTTTCAGAGCAATGCCAGTGGTGGAAGATGATCTAGGAACCAGAAATTAATGTAGTCACATTGCTAGTAAAGTGAGGAGAATGATCTTAGGACTGTTGTGCAAGTTATCTCCATTCTTGTAAGTCCATAGAATCTGTCGGGAATTGTGTCTACATCAATAAAATTACTTACAATGTCTTTTAGTTCTAGTTAAACCATTAGCCAAATCAAACTCAGACTTGAAGACAGCCTTGTGCCTCAGGGTGCTGTCAGGTGGCCCGTCATTTTTATCCTTTATATATGTGAGAATGTAGGTACATATGTAAAATGTATGTACATATGTGTGCACTTATATGTATAATCTGCATATATATGTATAATATTATGTGTAAYGTTTTGTTATGACACAGAAAACGTATTTCTCATGTTAGTGCAAGATGGCTGGATATTTTCTTCCCGAATATGACATAGCACTGAAATATGAGGTGTATGGTTTTGGAGGAGAATAACAGTTTTAACTATATTGCATGTTTAAAATCCCAACTGAACATAATATAACTTTACTAGCTCATTTCTCCTGAGGCATCAACACCATTTTTCACTGCTACTGCCATCTGGCATGTCTGAACTATCATGATCAGCATTTTATGTGGAAATGAAAGCATTCAATATGGTGTCTCTTCTCTAATGCTCTGAGGTCAGATACAATATTGCTAGAGGCWGGGAAGATGCTTTTTTATCACACACTTGAGAGACATCCATTTGACATATTTTATAGCTTTCTAGGTTAAGACCAGCCAAGCTTTTCCTTATTTGCACTGACCTGACATGAGGTCATTTGCTGTAATAACAATCTAAGATTCATACAGATGAGGTTTTTATACTGCAGTGTTCAAAGGCCACATACAGCCAAGTATTTGGAGGCTGAAAACCAATTCCTAGTATCCTAGTCCTTTTTTTTTTTTTTTTTCCTTTCCTCCTGCAAAACACTAGAGCTTAGAAAGGCTATGGACTCATTTTGCCCATTTGCCCCAGAAAATCAAAAGAGGTTTTAGTTGCACTCATTTTATCACAGACAGGTTCACAGAATGTGGTCTGATGACTTAGTTAAAAGTATCTTGTAGTTTAAGTTTAAAACTTGAATTCCAGTGTGTAAAAATATATGACCGTTCCTTTTTACAACACAAATTCATGAGTCACTGTCAATTTTCAAGCCTCAGTAATCCATCATGTGAGAAGCAGAGAACCACTAATATCTTTTATCATCAGCCATTTGCAATTGCTTGGAGGTAGAGGAGGAATTCTAGAATGAAGGGTTGAATCTAACCCCCCGTAGATCATTCCATGCTCTTCAATTGCRTTAGAATTCATGCTATTTATGTCTGTACAATTTCAAACTCTAATTTTTAGTGCAACGTTTAAAAGCATGAGTTTTTTTTTTTTTAATTGACGTTTTACAGGTCTTGAAAAATACATGTTAATTTATTATAGCCAGAATGCTGTGAATTCATGGGAGGGAATTTTTTTCTAAGCATTCCCTCTTATTGACCAATAGCGACTGATTTTCATTTCTCTTTTTGTATGGCTGGGTAATACTATTTTAAGGCAAAGTATCTTCCAAAAATGAAGCCAGTCTCTGAGGCAGAAAACCTGCACTTGTTAAAAACACTGGCAGTCAGTCATGAGAGAGCAAGTTCTCTCTTTGGAGAAAGCTTTGCCGTAAACAATGCTCACTGTTACTCACAGTGGTTATAAGCATACACACACAAAAAAAGATTCTCCATGTTTATTGCTTTTCATTAATTCTACATTGCATATATTCAATGTCAGATAAATTGGCAAATTCCTGTATAGTAGCTAGCATTTTACTCTCATTGATTATTGTAAAAATACTGCAGAGTGTATCAGTATACAGTCTGAATAAGCTTTCTTTGTGAGATTGGATTCTTCCTGCACGTGATGTCTTGCAAAACCACTATCTAAGAATGAATTCAGAACATTAAGAATTACTAGGTGTAAAAATCAACCTAAAAGTGTACATATACCTGATCAGTGAAATTTGCTCCTTTTTTTATTACACTGGCAAATTTTGTGTGCTAGATAGATTTGGCCTTTTGAACAGCAACTAATTTTTTTGTGGGAAGATGTTTGTTTCCCAAATGAAATCCCTCAGCTACTCTCAGCAATTTATAGCATAATTACAACTAAACAGTATCTATCATTTATACTTTTACAATGAGAATTTAAAAATAAACTTGCTAGGAATAAAATGAAAMGCCACTCTTGAAACTTCAGTCTAGAAACTAAATCTTCCACCTTTTCCACAATGTTTAGAAGACATGGATTTGATACTGATCCCTACTTAAAATAAAGTGATATGAACCCAGGAGTTCTCATAGTGCTGGTCCTTTTTATAGCCATACTTTGAGGTAGATCTTCAGTTTGGAAACCAGTGAACATTCCAGCAGATATTTCATTATGACTGGAGCCTACAAAGAAACAAAACTAGCAAGAATTCCTAAATAACTTTTTWAAATTGAAAATATAATTTCTAGTTCTCAAATGGATTTAAAGTCTGAGGAGAAGACTACTGGTATTTTCCTCTGGTGTCAAATGCAGCTAAGAAAAAGGTTTAAAAGATAAAACCAATATAAGTGTTCTAGTGCAGTTAACAAAAGCAATAATTCAGTTTTCAGATGTCTGAGCTTGATCTGAGCTTTATCTTACTGATGGTGTCTGGCTGAATTGACTGGTGTGTCTAATGAGCAGAAAATAGATCTGCACAACAGTGACAGTGTATTATTTTTTCTTATTACTTTGTACCCAACTTCTGGAATCCTAATCCTGAAAATGCAAGCCATTTCTCTTTCTCTTTCTTTGTTTCTCCAATGTTGTGAATATTATCTGTATTTTTCAAGTTCTAAACTGCCAAAATACCTCATTTGGACCAGTACTCACTTATCTTCTTCCATTTGACAGCTCAAAAATATGAAATTCACTATCAACTAAAATCATCAGGATTGAATGCCCAAAGTTAAAATTTTATGTAGTATGGCATGCATAATATTAGAATGTTGAAAAAATGTTACTCCTAAGGAGAAAAAGGTTGTAGCTAATTTGGTTGTCCTTCTCTCTCAGATTTTTCTTTTTCCCTCTTTCTYACAGTGTGAAGTAGCATTGATTTTAAGAACATATACTGAAGAAAATATGTTGTAAGCCGTTAGCACTGGTGCCAAAATCAACTTGTGCTTCTCAGGTAAATAGTAAACTTAATATTCAGGTATAAGCCAAGTTATGCCATAGTGTGTGGCATTTATCCATAGCATAAGGATAGTAGAAATAGTTAGAAATGCTAACTATGACCAGCATTTTTAGCTCATTTAGATAGCCTTGTAATTACGAATAATAAGCATCTATAAAGTGAGTCTTTATACATCATTTAAGAAAGACTTTCAGAAACTGAAAGTGAAGTGAATACATTATTTGTGGTTTCTTACTATGCTGATTCTGAGGATTACGAAATTGCGGTAGGTGCTTTTGTGGTCTTTCTAATTATAGCCTTTGGTATGAATGCTGCAGGTTAATAACTTTTTAAGTTATTAATTTGTCTGTTAAAGTGATGATTCTTTCTATATTTTAAACTAGTTTTAGATAAATATTATTTTAAAAAGATAATTAGGGATATTCAAAGAAAATAGATCAGATATTCATTTTAAATTGGTCAGTATAATTAGCATTCTCTCATATCAGAGGGCTGAATTTCAGGAATTATTGATTGATTCATGAAGACAAAGTACTAAAATTGTTTGTTTGACTCTGATAACTATTCAAAATGAGGCAATTTTGTTAATGATGTCTTAATGTTCTTTCTCCTGGAATTTTATTTATAAACATACATATTCATGTAGTTCTGTTATATAACATCTGATGAAAGCTAATTTCTCTTTTGGGTAAGTATCTTATAAATTAAATAGCCAAAAAAACATCAAATTCTTTCTAGAATTTAGAGTATATTTTCTCAAATAATTACATTTTGCTCTCAAATCCTCCCTTGTTCCTTCATTCATAAAGTAAGATAAGCACACAGTTGGCCTCATGAAATTAAAAATCATACTTTATATTCYTCATTCCTGTTTGTGTGTGAGTTTTGGAGATAATATAATTGGCCGTGCAATTCTTTGTTAGTTGATATCAGCTAATGAGSTAAAAAACCAGTTAACGGGGACATCCTACAATAACTGTTTTGCTAGTAAGTGGCAAGTGATGTTCAGATTCATGATTTTTAAAATAAGACTGTAATAAATAATTTCTGGGAAAACATTTATATAATGGTCTTCATACTGGTTATTTGTGTCTTCAGATCAGAATGGGAAGTTTCTTGCTTTTATATTATGCCTGAATTGCTCCAGAAAAGTAATTTTCATTATTTTTCTGGCGGATTTTACTATAACTGAAGAACATAAAACCTGTTTTCCTTTCTCTCACTTGTGTTTTTAATGTGGTTTTCCACTCTATTTATTGAATCAAATTATATGTTATATTGTTTCAAATGTTGTTTTTGGACTGCTTCTAAGAATCCTGTGAAAAAATAATTTAGGCAGCCAGCTCATTGTCAGCCCCGTAAGTATAATTCAGGAGTCCAGCACTTCAGAGACCAGACAAGAGGTCTTCTGTTTGAAAAATCACAACTCTTCTATGAAATATTAATTATGAAAAAAGTAAGGGTGCACTACAAACTAGAAATCAGACCAGCAATTCTGTTAGGGACCTAAGACCATTTTTCTGAATAAGATGTGCATCTTAGTAGATGCGCTTATGTCAACCTCAAACAGAAAGAAGTAATGGAATAAAATGTAATGTAGATTTAAAAAAAAAAAAAAAAAAAAGGGTTTCTCAGTTAGGTATTAACCACTGTCCCAAACAATAACACAAGTAGTACTTGGAAATGGAACAGAGAAGAGTAGAACATCATGTAAGTGAAAAGTTAGATTATGAGTTCCGCTGTGGAAATCACAGCTGACCAGAATCTGGGCAGAGTTCAAACAGATCTTAAGAATACTTCCAATGAAATTACTATCTTCAAGAGCAGTCCCCAGATCTAAGGAACATGTACAGATCAAACCCTATCTAAAAGAAAATGACTGACAAGAAAGAAAAGAATTTCTGTGCTATTGAAAACTTTGCAACAACCAATCTGATTCCCGCCGAATGCTCTCAGCAGCCGACAGACTGCACATTCTGCAAAGCTCCTGTCACTAGAAATTGCAGAACCGTTAGATATGGAGGAAACTGCAGATGTCAGTAGATGCTTCAAGGTACTTCATTAAGTTTAAGCAGGGACACAGGCAACTTTTATTGCCTTCCTGGAAGAAATTCAGGAGCAGCCACTCTGAGTACTCGAAACTGAACTATCTACTTTCCATCTACCTGCTTTCATCATTTGCTGTAATATTGCTGGTCAGTATGTCTTGTTTAAGATTGTGTCTTTCTTTTGCATACATACATGCCATAGAAAGACTGCATGTATGTTTGTATGTGTGTATATGTGTTCCGCATCCTGGAATATCTGTTTTTTGAGGRCACTCTTAGAATGAAGATGTAAGCCTCGTTCTCCAAGGCTCTTGGTTTTGGACAGGTGAGTGGTTTTCTGCCTTTCTGAGCTAACACTGAAATCTGACTTGAGCATCTTCAGGATTTAGAGCAGAAGAGGAGCCATTCTGYCAAGTTAACCTCTGCAGGAGGAGGAAAGCCCTTCCATTCTCCACCGTGAGCTCTTTGGTGCAGGTGCGTGGCTCCRCTGTGTCCCAGCTCCTCCCTGTGGTGGCACTTGAGTGGCTGCATCTCTGCCTGTTTGTATCCTGCCTTGCTGTGAGAAAGCAGTCTGCAAGCGTGACCCCACTGTCACACTTGGGGGCACCCTGGAACAAGCCACTGCACATCCTGCATGTGTGATGTAGATAGTCTGGATGCTTTCCTCTGCATTGAATTGCCACGTGGTTTAGGTACTGTGGCACTAAGGTTGAAATTCTCTGCCTATGTTTTAAGGAGGGCTGCACACTTAGGCTGGGTAAAGGTTAGAGACGGCTTTGAAAAATCTCATCTGTTAGCCTGGAGTTTAGTGTTGCGCTCAATAGCACACAGCTACAAAGCAGAACTGTGAGGGGAAGAGGAAGGCCAAATCATGATGCACTGATAGCTCTTGTGAAATACAAATTCACCTACAGTGATTTTTTATGGACATGTAGTTTGCTGTTGAAAAGAGGATAATTCCAGAACTGGGGACAAGATTAAAAGACTGTTCATGTTGTTACAATTTCTATTAATAGTAGTAATTTCTAATATGTTAAAATAATAATACTAAATATGGAGATATTTATATTATTATAGCTATCTTGTAGAAACTGAAAAAAATACCTCTACTAATATTGAAAAGTTGTTTTTTTAAGATTGCTTTCTTAACTCAGTACCTAGCCACTAATACTTCCAAATAGCTTTTCAGATTCTATGAAAACATACATTTCAATATTCATGGAAGGAATTAAAATTAGCACAAATTTGGAGAATTAAACATGAGTGACTGTAGGATAGCAAAGAGACCCAGGGGAATGATTCTTCTCAGCCTTGAAAAATAATCTTGGAAGCCTATGGGAAATAACTAATCACCCTTTTTTCTTCTCCTAGCTTCAACTATCCTTTCATCCTCCTCCCAGGAGGTAAATATGCTTTATATGCYCTCTAAAGGGACAAAGAAATAACTTGATTTATTTATATTTGTTTTTTAGAAATCTCAGACTTGGAATTCTTTGAGCAATCAAATCAAAAATAGAAATTCCCAAATTCAAAGCTCCTGAATTTTTACCATCTCAAACCAAAACAAGGATCTGTGGGATAGCCAGTTCACTAACAGAGGTCATGAAAGAAAGACTATAAATATCCAGATCAAATGTGATCAGTCATTATAACGGAAAGAAGTTCCCCACAGTCCATCACAAAAATTCAGGTTTATATTAAGATATTGCAAGATAAATGTAGTACTACATACCAAACTATTTCTCATCAAGGGAGTAGTTAGCATTTATGCATTGATTTGTCATCTTTTTCAGATGGTTTCAGTGTGATACAGATGCAGAATTTTWATGGCTATGAATGATGGTTGGATGCTTTAATCTCCCTGGTGATGTTTTACTTTACTTGTTCAAACATACCTGTTGAATACTCTTTATGTATGTTTATGAAAGTTACAAACAAGTAATATCATAGGGAAAATGATGAAAGCTACCTTGGAAGAATATATATATATGAGCAAAAATTAAGTGTAGATATCTTAGGAAGTTTAAGTTTAAGCAGGGTCTGTGTACTACTTTCCTAATGCACAAGATATTAGACATATTGATATATGTCCATTTTTGTATTTCCCCTGCAGTTTTATCATGACAAAATTGTATCTTTAGGTAGAACTAAAATGTCAGATGATAAGTAGTATGTTGTTATGTCTTCTCACTGTACGGTAATGGAAAGAGTCTATAAAATCTACCAGTTAGGAAGTCAGTACACACTGCACCAGGAGTTAACTTGGGTCCTTGCTGTACTTGGATYTGTGATTACACATGTCATGTTAAAGATATTTTATTAAGTCAAATTTCAGATGCCTGTCAAATGATTTGCTTTTGTGCAGAAGCAGCCACAAGAGCTTGTTTTTSATTACTTTATGATGGTCCAGCCGGCGCCAGTTTATTGCAGAAACCTTACATCACAAACCTGCTGAGGCAAGCTGAACAAAMCCCGCACAATTCAGGGCATGGCAGTCACTTCCAGTGTGTGCATGACCATTCGTAAACCCCTGAATGAAATCCGTTATGCCATYTATGCTCAATGAGCCTGGAGAAAACAGAAACATGGGCTCCAGTGAGCTGTCAAAAAGCAGACATATTTGCAAGGGCCGAGTCTGAAGCACKGAAGGGCCTGTCTGCTCAGAATGAGCACCCTTGCCTGAGCCACGCTGGAAAAGTGGGCCAAACAGCTCTCAGGCATCACAGCCAGAAGGGTCCATGTCACAGCATGTGCACAGCTCAGAATTTTCTGGGTTTTATCGTGTTTCAGATCACTGTATGGAGGAGAGATGTTATGGGAGAGGAATTGTCCCTGGATTCAGCAGAAGGGCCCAATATTCCCTGAGCCCATTGTATCACTTCAG